GTATATATCTTTTCAGACTCTTAATTCTATTCACAGAAGTATAGAAAGATTTTTAAATAAAAATGATGTCATATTCTATATTTGACTTTATTCACTTAATGTAGCATCACAATATTTCCATTTGATTACATCTTTTCTCAAGAATATGTTTATCCACAACTGTACACAAGAATACGTTTATCCACAACTGTACCGAAGAATATGTTTATCCACAACTGTACCGAAGAATATGTTTATCCACAACTGTACCGAAGAATATGTTTATCCATAACTGTATCCAAGAATATGTTTATCCATAACTGCTCCCTTCACCAAACTAAAAGCAGAACTGAACATGGTGATGATTTGTTTTAAGGGAGAAAAAAAATGAAACTAATACTAGGATCATAAACAGAGACCACAAAACTAGAATAAAAATACAAAAGTTAGAATGCAAACTAGATAACACATTTTGAAGTTTAAAAAAATATATATCCTTTTGTATAACACTGGTAAATACAATGGGACTAGATATCCTGAGTTTTGTAATTCCAAGCTGTAAACTCCTTCTATCCATGGATAACTGCCAGATAAATGCAGGCCTGCAAAAGGGTTTAAGGGATAGTCCCAACAGAATATAGATTAGGCAGATCATGGATCTGACACTGGTGATATCTCCAATGTAACAAACCCCATTAGATTTAAGTACAGTGATTTTTGTCCTTTGCCCCAATCCTTTAGCCCATTCCACTTACAGTTTTTAGAACTAAACTTGTTAAGGAGCACAGTGTTAGCAGCCACATCGCACAGTAATGGATATTTCAGGTATGATTTAGTCTGATTCCAATTTTACGCAAGCTCAAAAAGATCTGAAAAAAAATCCCAAATGGCTACAGCTGACATCAGAGTGTTGTTGCGGTTTTGATATCAGAGTGTTTTTGACAACATTTCTGTGCAATGTAACTAAGGGCTTAGCAACATATATTTAAAGATGCCAGTCCCATCCCATTAAATGAAATGCAGGATCGCACAGGAATGCTAACAGATCAGCATTTCAAGCTTCCTTTGTTGTTTAATATCATCTTTTTAAAAGACATCTGCAAAAGGTGCTATTTTGATGCCCTGTCCAGGTACTCTTTATGGAACCAGGAGCCCATCTGTCACTTGCAGTGAATGTTGTTGTTGCCACTGGTCCCTTCACTAAAGAACTGCTCTGGCCCAGGGTTTCTCCACCTCAGTATTGGGCAGGATAATTCTCTGTTGTAGGAGGCTGTCCTGTACCTTGTAGGATGTTTAGCTGCATCCTTGCCCTCTAATCTCTCAATACCAGTACCAATCCGCCTAGCGTGACGACCACAAATAACTCTACACTTTGCCAAATCTCCCCTAGGGCAGTGGTCCCCAACCTTTTTGGCACCAGGGATCGGTTTCATGGAAGACAAATTTTCCATGTACCAGGGTGAGAGTGGAGTGTGGTTTCGGGATGATTCAAGTGCATTAATTACATTTATTGTGCAGTCAAACCTCTCTGCTAATGATAATCTGTATTTGCAGCTGCTCCTCAGCATCAGCATCACCATCTCAGCTCCACCTCAGACCGTCAGGCATTAGATTCTCATAAACAGTGAGCAACCTGGATCCCCTGCATGCACAGTTTACAGTAGGGTTCGAGCTCCTATGAGAATCTAATGCCCCCACCAATCTGACAAGAGGCGGAGCTTACGCAGTGATGCAAGTGATGCGGAGTGGCTGTAAATACAGATGAAGCTTCACTCCTTGCCTGCTACTCACCTCCTGCTGGTGGCCCAGTTCCTAACAGGCCACAGACTCTGCCACTCCAAGGTGGGGGGCAGGGGTGGACCACAGCCCTAGGGGACAAAATTGCCTGTGGTTGAGAACAACTGCTGTAGGTTGATGGAAGCTTCCAGGAAGTAATTACCACCACCACCCAACCCTCAGGCCCACAGCCATGAGGAATGATGTGGGGTACAAAAGAGCACCTCAGAGGGGGAGGTGACTATGGTGTGGCTTCTGCTCCAGATTCCTTATGGGATCTGGCCAACAATAGATTTTCCCCGAGCTCA